AAAAAAAAAAAATATATATATATATATATATACATATATATATATACTGATTCCCAATCTATGCAATATGCAGTTAAAATATTTCTTACTATAAGTCTAAATCTCATGTCACACGAGCACTATTGTAGCAGTGATTTCTAGCAGCTACAGAATCACTCTCCATAGCCATTTTTTTGCTAGGAGAGAATAAACTGCAGTCCATAAAAGGTCAGCATTGCAGAAAGCAAAAGCAGTTTGTAGCTCATGCGCAGAGCAATTGACTATTAGCAACATTGGAGGCTAGCTACAGACTTGCTAGCTTCAGTAGCTAATATTGTCCAATGCAGTAGATGATGACCATGGTACACCAGCAATTTGTAGCTGCCTAGATGGTAGGTTGAGAGTTTGCTTTTGATTCTCCCTGGAATGTCATTATTATAATTCAGATCATTTGAAATATATATATATATCTTCCATCACATTCCTTTAGAAGCACTCCAAATTGGACCCTGACCAAAATATTTGTAATAGTGACTTTTTATTTCCCCACACCACTAGGATAACATCTAGTACTTAATGGAAATGGGATAAGATGACCATTAATGTCCTATGGCACTTTATCAGTAGCTTGTACCTTCTTGGTACTTGTTGCTATTAGAAGATTTTAAAGCAAATAGTAAAGTAGGAGAATAATTTGTAGATCCCTGTCCCATACATCCTGGATACTATGTTCTACTTATATAAATGCATTTTCAAAATTTATAGAGATGTTTCAAGAGCAGAAGTAAACTACTTCAGCAGATCTGTTGTCACTTACCGATCCTACTAAGGTTAGGGGAACATATGAGGAACAAAATCTAAAAGCCCACGTATGGCCTTTTTAAAAAAACAAATGTACAATAAGTAATATATATCGAGGCAGAATGATTTTTTTACTAAAATCAATAATATATTGTGTATCTAATAAACGTTGGCAATCCGTACAATAAAATCTTTAGTTAAAAATCAATTTTTTAATTAAATGGTTAATAACTACAAAAAACAAACAATAATAAACCAGATCAAGTGATCCTGTTGCTAACTCCACAGAATAAAACTAAAAGCAACCTGTATAAAAAGATGCATATTCACTTTTTATTCGGGAGATAATTTAAAACTTGACACTTCCAGGTGTGTGTTGAATAGTGTTTTGGTGGGGTTACAATGACATATATATTTGACATGATATATTTTCCTGCAGGCTTACTGTTGCAGTCTTCATTTTGGAAATTCTGCTAAATCCTGTGCTTGCCCCCAAATTTACTTGTTTTAATATTCATTTTTGAAAAAAGCTGTTATGTTATGCAGCCTCTTAAATGTGTCCTATGAGAGAAGCAAATTATCATTTTGTGCCCATTACATGATGCTTTACTGCTTGCAGTTTCCCAGAGAATGGCTTCAGAGTGTAGCAATATATGATTAACATATTGTGCACCTATGGCAGCCTGTCTGATGGGTGCTGCAATTGATAAAACAGCTGCCTGGCTAACACATAGTCCTTCATAAATGTTAACTCGAGATTCATTAGGCCTCTACCAGGGTGGAAATTGCTAATTGTCTATTCAGTTGAGCACCTAATGTTAAAACATTGGAAAGTTTAAATACCATTCCCATTCCGAAAAATGGTTGTACGTGTGCCTTGGTTAATGAGAAACCTGTTCTGTGTACCAAGGACTTTTGCCGTCTGCTCTGTGCAGCTGTTCTTTGCCTAGAGCCCTTGTGAGAGTTAACATACATGACTGTTATCATGTAGGTCATCGCTCAGCTGTCCAAGACCACAAGAGACATATGTTTACTGAGTGTATATCAGATATACTGTAACTGTATAGCTGCTTATGTGGTCAGTAGTCCACATTTTGCCCGGTTTTTGAGAACTACAAGTCTTACAAGGCAATGTCAAAAGAGAATTTGTTTCACATCGACTATATTTTAACAGTACATGCTGGACATTTTTTAGGGGTTTTTTTCTCCACACACAGAAGCACAAAAGCAACAGCATTTTTTTTATTGAAATGATTTACTAGAAATTAAACACACAAGTAGTGAGATAGCTCAAGCAGTAGTAATCCTCATCTCAGTTCTTTGTAATGTGCAGGGTAAGAACAGGTGTAAGTATAATTTTAGAAGGTATGTTTTTGTAACTCTCAAAGTCAAGACATAACCTTTTTTGCTTTTATCACTTGAATTTTAATTGCAGCAAGCCACTGCTTTTGATGCCATTTTCATACCACCAGATCCTTATATTGTTACATAGTATTTGAGGTTGAATAAAGACATTAGTCCATCAAGTCCAACCTATTAGGATCTCATTCTAGGAGTACCTGTACCCCTGTATATTACGGTCCCTTAAGAAATCGTCCAAAAGTTTCTTGAACAATTCCACATTATTTGCTGAAATCACCGCCTGTGGCAGTGAGTTCCAGACCCTAACTGATCTTACTGTGAAGAACCCCCTTCGCCCCTTGTGCTTGTAAAGCGCTGTGCAAACTATTGGCACTATATAAATCCTGTATAATAATAATGTACACACTCAGTAGTAATTTGAGTTTAAGGTGTGGTCAGTGACACTACTTGGATGTATTTGGTTGTCAAGAAATTAAATAGAAATTGATCATTGGAGATCATGCATAAGAGCTTTAAGCACACTGAAACACTGTGATTTGTAAGACCTATCAATTTTGTAGTCTGAAAAATAATGATTAAATGGATGTCACTGCACTTTACTCTGATTAATGAGACTTCCTTCTGTAGCTAATCACTGTTTAACAGATTGTAGTGTGAAGTGTTTAAGTGTATGTAAATGAAAGTATTCCACGCTTGAAGGAGACAGTTGCAACAATTATACATGTAAGTACTGAAGACACATGGCTGAGTGGCTATGGGTGATGTGTCTTGGCATGATCCATAGGGCTCACATGTGTCTTTGTTTTGCTTTCTCTGGAATGACCACAACATAAATTGCTTGTCTTGTTTGACTTCCCTGTTCACTGAAGTTGAGCAGATTGTGGCCGTTTTCAACGCTTCCACCAGACAAAAAGCATGGGACCATTTCTCGAAAGCTCAGCGCAAGAATATTGACATTTGGCGGAAGCATTGTGAGGTGGGTGCCTTTCTTCAATTATATCCATCACTCTCATCGCAAAGAAAGTGAGTTTGTTTGAAATGAGTGTTGGTGTGCTTGGTTCAGTAGGAAAGAAAGGTGGGTTAAGGCATTTAAGATGCTCTGCACATGACCATAAAATAAATGTTAATTGTATACTAGTAGGTGGCTCGAAGATAGATTAACTTCTCCAGGCAACAAATCAGGTTTGTGAGACCATCATAAAGCCTTTCACTGACTGCGTGGGTTTGAATGCTTGTGTTTTAATGATAGTGACATATGCAGATTAGCAAAGATGCAGTCTCGTATGTTTTTAACAAATATTTCCTTCAAAAACTTTACTATAATGTAGCTGGTATGTATATATATCCATATATTTTTGAGTTCTTTAGACTAATACATATGTATCAATAAAAATGATGCAATTGGAAAATGTTAAATGCTCTTCTAAGTCCCACTTACCACAAATTCAGAAAGCATTTTTAAGAGCTCCGTTGGGTGATATGTCTTCCATGGGTCTCAGACAATTGTGTCTCCAGTTCAGAACCCATGTTTTGGGGGGTTTCTTTGTCATATTGAAACAAAGCTTTATAAACTGTTGTTGTTTGCTATTTACCTTCCCACTAATTTGATTCATAAACAAACCAACTTCATATAGTTTCTGGATCTTGTTATTAAAATAGAATCATGTACCCAGTCATAGAAGGCTTGTGATAATAATAATGATTATAATTGTAATTACAATTCTCAAAGGACTGGCTTCACTCCTTAATTGGAACAATGTTTGAATTGATTCACTATGTTGAGGCTGCACCTTTAAATGTAAGTTACACATATTATACCACTATTTTTCTGTAGAGTGTCATCTGCATATGTCTGTGCCTGCATGTTATTATTACCCTTCACATTGATATGTTTAACTATATTTTGGTATACGTTTTACTTATTATTATGGTCACCCAGTTTCCATTTCTTGTTCAGAAATTGCTTTTTCTATGAGCCTGTGTTTTAGCGGGTAAGTACAGTGTTTTGATATTGTTGCAGTAAGGTTTCTACAGAACATGGTTTTTTTCTTGTTAAACTTGCCACAGGTATGCTTTATCCCACAAGTCTTTCAGGAGTTTCAATCACATAGCAATAGTAAGCATTTTAAAGAACAAAACAATACGTTTTCCTTTACCACTGCTTTTACTATCTATTATTTCTAGGACCTGCAAAACAGTTGTCCTTTTAAAGCTTCTTCTCTCCTTGTCTCATTTTCTTGGCTTTCTCTGATACTCTTACTCACAAACATTCTATGTGTATCACTGTCTTATGTGCTCGACATTAGTTGTTTGCCAGTCAAAAGCTATACTTGACATGCATTCTTATCTCCTAAGAACATATAGTCCCAGCTGTCTAGAAGATTACTATGGTATCTAGTGGCAGTGTGGCTCATTGCACTGCAGTAAAAATATTTAACAGCTATAATGTAAATATACTTTAGGTACCTTAATCAAATAACTGCAAAGGTAAGTTTGCAAGCAAGGTAGAGAGCTTACTACAAAATTTGCCTTGATGGTGGAGTTTATAAATAAAAAAGCCAAAAGGATCTTCTGTGGGTTTGGTGTTTGAGACAGTCATTTAAAGCCATGCTACTTATTTTTCTTCCAAGCCTTAGTATGGGGCCCCCAGAGCAGTTTGTTACAACATTGAGTAGCCTATGTTGTGACATGCTTCTTGTGATTATGGCTCCAATATAACTCCTTTGTGAACTCTTAGTTCTCACAGCAATCTAATAACTTAGAAAATATCCTCTTTTTATGACTAAACTTAGGGCTATCATAGGCTAAGCTTGAGGCATGCTAGGTGTGTAGTGTTACACACAACAAATACTGTATATAGAATGAGTATAATAAAGCCAGGCAACTAGAAAAATATAATTATCTACTGCCATTTATTAAAGAAATCTGCAGTCAACATGGCAGTAGAACAGAGTGGAGCCAGGAAAGGATTGCTCATTAAGCTGAACAAATTTTATTTACCTTGTATTCATGAGCAGCTTCTAGTGTAGAAGAGGGTATCAGTATTTAAAACTGTAGATTGAATGATAACTTCACAATAATTGTTTTTTGGTTCCCTTTAGAATAATATTATCTGCCAGGTTTCCATGGTGCCAAATCCTGAGCATATTTAATTATTCTGTATGTCGGAAGCAATTGTATAGTTCCTACTCAAATCAAAGTGTACCTGGAAACCTTTAAAAAAATTGGCAGTTATAGGAAGAGGAGAATGAAAACAAACATTTATATGCAAGCACAATCTCACTTTTGATGTGTTTTCATGCACTGTAGTATATAATGTATGTGCAGGTAAGTTACACACACTCTTTGGAATTTCCATAATTTGTTGATAATACCGTCTTAAGTATTTATATTCCCCTTTAGTTTGGACTTAGACTTGTATCCAGTCTCACATGTGTGTATCTTTATATGAAAGCCCCACCCTCATTTTATTTTTAGATTCTATAGCAATATACTATAAACATAACTCTGTGGGAATTAATTAATCAGATGAACAAGTTTATTCAGTAGCGATGGAAAATGTGCAATGAGTTAAGTGCAAAGGGCAGAAATATTAACAACAAATCAGAATCTGTTTTACTTAGTGGACTTCAGTCAAGTGAATTCTGATTAGTTGTGATTGTTCACTTTGCCGTTAAAGTTCTGTTCCTTCCATGCAAAAAAATAGTTGCATGAAAGCAAAATAATACTAGACAAAGCTCAGTAACCCTTAGAGAACAGAGCGAGAGGGACCCAGGAACAGCCCAAGCAGGTTTGTTTTGTACAATTATTCAGCAAGGCATTAAACAAACACAGTTCAATGTAACAGGGCTTTGTACAGCAAGTCCAATACATAAAACATCTGGTAATCTGAGCCACTAAACTTATGTCACTTCCTGACTAACAGGGTGTCCCCTAGTTGCTTCTCTAAAATAAACAGTCACGTCTAGTACCTTTTAGTGTTCTTTCAGCAGTTAGCCTTTCCACACAGAAGTACGCTCTCACGGCAGAGGGAGTGAAAGAGAGAGCCTTTAGCAACAGTCAGCACAGATATATAAAGGCCTGAAGACTGATTAGTGAGGTCTGGCTAACAGGTATGGCATATACCTAGCAATGGAGGCTTTATGCCAATCAAAGCCTCTGGCCTCCAAGACCCAAACCTTAGTAAGATCTGAGAAAACAAAAACATATGTTTTCTCCATGGCAGACACAAATCCTGCAACCCCTCACCACGTGTAGGTGAGAAACCTAGTTGACACATATACAAGTGACTTTGAATGGTTAACCACTTTTAAATCAGTGTTAACAAACCTTTTTTTTTGGGGGGGGGCCCACATGTGACACTTTTAAAGGTCACACATACAATTTTGCCTTGATTGAGAAAAAAATGTAAAAGGGACAAAAGTGTCAAACATCCCTGCAATTAAATAGTATACTTATAAGGGCACTTTGGGTAGTAGTGTTGTCTAATACCATTTCAATCTGCTCTATATTCTCCTTCACGAAGTTTGCAGAATTTGTTAAAGTAGATATGCAGCAGATATGCATGGCCTGTCATAGACAGGTTCCAGTTACTCTTGCAACAACAGGGTCATATAGAGGGTTATCAAAATATAGCAAGTATTTAAAAAAATCACAAACATTTATGTTAAAAATTTCTGTGACAAATTGCGAGTTTATTTCGCAACATAGGAAAGGGAACAGCGTATCAGCACTTATGCTACCCATTCCGTTATCTTAAAGGTTATGTTGCAGTGGGATTTGAGTAAGAATAGGTCAGTCTTCCAGCAGTCAGTCAGCCGAAAGCTGGCCATACAAATGCTGGAATTTTGGCCGAGTCAGCAGTGATCACCTGAAATTCGAGTTGTGGGTTGTCCTGTCACTACCTTTTGATCCAATAGAAGTCAATTTTTGATTGTTTTTTCTCGAACTAGGTGAGCCAATCAGCTGCAGTCACTGTTCACTGGCTGTCAGAATACAATAGCCCAGCAGAGAAGATTCCCCTATCCACACTGTTTAGTCTACATAAGAAAAAACGCCTAACGATTGGCCAGCTTAAGAACCATTCCAAGCTCTCACTGCCATTCATTTTATAGTGGGCCACAAGCTTGTACTGGATAAAATTGTTACAGTTTGTGTCTCACTTTAGGGACACAAAAAGGGCCAGCAGTTTGGCATCCCTGTTCTATATACTTTTCCTTAACCGCTTGAAGACCAGGTGTTTAGATCCCCTACCTGGCCAGGCCATTTTTCAGTGTTCAGCGCTGCGGTACTTTGACTGACATTTATTCCGTCACGCAACGCTGTACTGAAATGAATTTTATACCATTTTTTGGGGACAGATAGAGCTTTCTTTTGGTGGTATTTAATCACCACTGCGGGTTTTATTTTTTACTATATTCAGGAGAAATTACTGAAAATTTTGAGAAAAAAAAGTTTTTTTTTACATTATGCTATAAAACAACTAATATTACCCACTTTTTTGGTAAAATATAAAAGACGGGGTCACGTCGGAACGCCGCGCGTGTATACACGCCCAGTTACATCCAAGAAGCTCCCGGCAGGCCGTGTATTCACAGCGGCTGGCCGGGAGGTAGTTAAAGGTCATCTATTCCTCTTTGCAAACTCCATAGTGATAGTGCCCTGACCGAGATTCAAACCCCCAGTGCTGTAAGGCTGAAGTGCCTTCTACTCAGTCACTTTGCTGCCACTACAAAGTCACTTTGATTTATCGCACAAACAATCTTCCTTACACAAATGGACATCCCGTTCAAAATCGCCTGTTTCCTAAAGTGTATTTGACTTTTACAGCCAAATTGGGATAACACCTATTTTATGTGTGTTATATGTTTCTCATTTGCGTAGCATAACTTGCTGCTTGCACAACACATGCTCCATTCTGTAGCAAAGTTGTTCTTTGTACTGAGTTTTGCTCTGGATTGCAACAAAGGCTGAGCAGGTTAATGTTATCATAACTAACCCTGTCTGTACTGTGCTGGCAGATCTCTTTATCAGTTGTAAGTTAGATTTGAACACATTCTGTCCTAACAAAGGGCGAAAGATCTAGAAGTATTGTATGTTAATAAGGAGAAGCTCAGTCTGTCCCTAGTCTTTCTACGGGGACAGACAGAGATTCCTGTCACTTGGATATTGAGAGAAGCATGCAAAGTCCTCTACAAAGACCCATCTAAAAGGTAAGAATTTTTTTTCTTTCTTTTTTTTTTTTAAGGTATGCTGTGTGAATGGGAACACATAACAAACAAATAGAGGGGTTTTCTCAAATTTGACTGCAGAAGTGGGAAAACACTTTAAAACAGCTACCTTATGTCAGTGGCTGGACTCACCATTCTTCCGCTAACTATTACTATGTTGTAGAACTGATCCTGTGATCAGATAGCACTGAGTGTACTAGGTAAACTAATGTCTGCTACATTTTATACAAGATAGATTAGGCCTGCAAACCACTGTGGCTCGAGATGCTGTTTTAATAGGCCTTTGAACATTCATTACAGCCTTCTCTTGAAATGTGTACCGATGAACAAGAGAAGCCCCTGTGGGAGAACCTTCTACATTTTTCATGGGAATTGCTGTGGCATTTGTCACATAATGAAAGCTATATGTGGAGTGTATTGTGTATTCTCCTCACATGACTTAAAAGATGCCAAACTGCAAGTCTCCCCTGGGAATGAGCCCTTTGTCAGTAGAGAAATTAGATGTCAACAAGGTGAAAAGCTGCATGCTGCATTCCTACATTAAACCTGGCAGCATTATTAGGACCAAATGAGATGGTATCAACTTTCTTTTTTTTCCTGCACCTTACAGGGAGAACATACTACATTATCTCTGCCCTTTTGCATTACTGTTTAGACAGGTTTCCTTGCACTACAGTTCATGTGCCTTTCTGAATCTATATAAAGCTATGGTGCGTTAAAAAAAAAAAAATTTTACACAATTAACCCCTTCGTGACTGACGACGTACAGTGTACGTCGCGAGCATCGGGGCTGTTTAAACAGACTCCCGGTGACTTTTGCCACCAGGACTCTGTTTAAACTTGTAGAGCCGACTGTCGGCTTTACAACAGAAGCGAATGAAAAAAAGGCCTCAGTCATGAAGGGGTTAATATTTGTGTAGTGAAGGAGCTCCAGTTCACAGGCAGTTTAATATAAATTGTGTAATTGCATTCTCTTCATACAGTGCACAACTGGATCAGGAGCGTTGGCAGCTGCTGCACTGGTAGTGAAACCAAATTTGTTGACATTGCATTTTTGTCAAATGTGCATAATATTTCAAGCGAGAAAGAGTTGCAGGTGTATTTCTGTACATTGCTAACTGCATGAATGTAAACATTTTATAATCTCAAACTTACACTGGCTTTTCAGAAATATATAGTTTGGGCAGGATATGGCAGACAAAATGACTGGTATTTTTACCTTTAATATTTAATCACCAGATTCTGATTTGACAGTTATGGGATTATCTATGCTTTTGGGAAGCCTAACAGTTTTGAATATCTTAACTGTACCTGTTGCTGCCTGCAAAAGGCAGCAACCTTAGGGAAGCAGAAAATAACACAGGTTTGGATGCAGGGCCATTGTAGACAGCACTTCCATACTGAGCAGTCCACCTTTACCAACACTATACTTCCCATGGTTGCAACTACTTGTCTTCTGTGCTGATGGCTTTAACCACAGAAACACTCAGAATGTGAGTTCCTCTGATACCTGGGTGACAGCATCTAGAAAACTGAAATGTCACAGAGCCAACTAGAAAACTAAAATGCAGAGGGTAAAGCAGATCCAATCCCTTCTTCTGATCAATGTGACTTCTTCCTACACCATTGTGCTATCTTCTAAATCGAGCACATCTTTGAAAGAATGCTACTTAATAATCAAACTCAAGGATGCCACTAGTCTTTCACAGTCTGCAGGAGCTAGACACACAAGATGTCTGCCTTCGATGAATATAAAAGTTTGGTGGAACACATTAGGCGAGTTGCTCTCAGGGTAGAGAGCAATTATCAAAGGTCAGTGTGTAAACGTAACAGGGCTTATGTGCGGATAAAAGGTACCTGTTCACTTTCAACTTTTTATGTATCTTAAAAACAAGTGTATGATTGCTTGTTGTATTACTTATTATTTCTGTACAAGTCTTGCCACCTTGGTATTTTTCCTAGGTCATAGCTGAGTGCCGCAGTTTTCAATTTTCACACTGCCAGTAAATGAAGACTGGGAGTTCGGGTGGATCACAACAAAACAAAGCGATGCATATGTTAACTAAGTACAATGTGTTTTATTAGTGGTGCCTGTATTTTGTTATCTTTTGTAGGAGCTCCGGAATGCGCACAGTGAACAGCTCATGGGTATCCGGAGAGAGGAGGAGATGGAGATGTCAGATGATGATGACAGCAGTGATGTTCCCAGCAAGAAAACTAAAGTAGATGATACAGGTGAGAACAATACCACTGTGCCTTTTGTTACAGGACAGAAGCAAAATGCATATGTGTTAAGATTATGACCTATCCATAATCCATTCTAACAGGGGTGAAATAAAAAGTAGAATTTTGAAGTGCATTTGAAATCTTTGAATCAATAGCCATCATCACTGGGATACTTGTCCCCTGAAGGGGGTACCACAAAGGGGACTACTTAGGTGTTAAAAGAATTGCATATCATTCAAGCAACAGATGCAAGCTGGCTCCTCTGCCAATCAATACTTTATAAGGCAGACTATTTGATTTATCAAAGTATGGAGAGCTGTTTGCTTTGTCTTGTGGTAACCAAACAAATTCAAATTTCCATTCTTCAGCTGTGAATTTGGAGTGTGTGTTTGGATTAGATTGGTTGATGTGGGACAAAGAACAGTACTTCGTATTAATTGATAAATAAGGTCCTTATTAATTGATAAATAAGGTCCATTACAGCTCTATGTTGCACAAAACACCCAGCTTCTTCAGTTCATCTTTGAAAAGTGACATTTGGATTGGGCGGTTTGCTTCTTTTAGATACAAGCTATATCTCAGGACCATTATGGAAGAATGATAAAGGTAAGAGGTGTGTGTGTGTGTTTTCATTTTATTAACATGATGAACCCATTTCATTTTGGTTGCCAGCCACATCAAAGATTCCTTGCTAGGAAACATGGTAATTTTTTTATGAACCCCTGCAGAATTATTAACAAAGATTATTATATTGCATGCCTTTGCATGGGCTTCCAATTTGATTTCTTTATGAACATCAGTGTGTTATTAATATCACTTTGCAAGACCTTACCAAGTGTATTACAGCTCCAGAATGGCTTCCAATAGATTGGATAAAAGAAAGTTGGAAAGCAATTAGATGTCAGCATAAAGCCAGTGTGCAGATATGTGTGTTAAGGCAGCCTATAAGATATGCTGAACTCATTTCCCATATTACAAAAATGACTCTTGCAATGAAGCAATTGTGTAGAATAGCGGTGTAAGTCAGATCATTTTCCATTACATTGAGAATGGGAAGGCAGATGAAACCAGTGTTCTAATTCCACATCGCCAATGCTATTATATAGATTACATTTTGTTATGTTTTCAGGCTGATATGGTTTTATGTGGGATCATTACATAGGAGGATTGATGTAATCCCTTTTTCTTAACAGGTTTTTAGAACACATAGGCAATTTTTTCTAATGCGATAAGAGACAAAGTTGCTATGGAAAATGCCATAGCAACCTAACATCTTCACAGAGCCAAGCAGCCACTTGTGACAGTGGTCTAAATTTAAATTTATTTTACTGTCATTCTATTGGTGTTGCAGTTATTTCATTTTGACATGCTGTTAAATTATGTTTTTTTCTGTCTATCCCTGGGAAAATTAACAACAAAGTGTTACGGAGAAAATTTCACTGCAGTCGCAACACATTGTGTATATTTAAATTGACACATACAAACAAGATAAGTGGAATATTTAAAGCAGGGATAATGAACAGAATGTGTAACATAAGCTACTCAGTTCCAAGGTGACAGTGAGTCACCAAGGTTACATAGTTACATAGTTACATAGTATTTGAGGTTGAATAAAGACATTAGAAGGTACTGTTAAGGTTTCCTTTATCCAGTTCCCATAATATAATAAAAATAAAGTTGTTGCTTATAGGTTACTACAGGTTTATTGATATGTACCAAATACTGGAGTAATGGGGTATTGTGTACAAATGCCTGATTACTTGTGATCAGTTAGGGTAACATATTTAAAAGGCTGGTTCACCTAAAACTGATTTTAGTTTTTGAAATCAATCTAAAGCTTTTTTTTGTTTGTTTTTTTTTTTTAATTTCAGATAGAGCAGGAAAGGGTTTTTTTTTTTTTTTTTTTTTTTTTTTGCTGTCTGTTTTGGAGAGATTTCCTTTCAGTTCCTGTCCCAGAGACAGAACTGGAAATGAGAGTAAAAATCTCCAAAATCTCTTCTTAATTACCACGTGAACAAATATTCCCACTGGCAGATTTCCCCTCTATTTCTGTTCTGCTGACAAATGTAAAATTTTGGATTTCCCATCCCACTCTGTCCCCCTGTACAGTTCACAATAAAAACTTGACAGATAATACTTGTTAATGCTGGTCAACTGAATTAGTCCATAGATTCTAATAACCCTTTTGGTGAGATTTCTGTACTGGAACTCCCAGGATTCCTCACATGCTCTGCTAGAGTTTTATTTTTTAGTGTGTCTTAAAGATGCGTAAAGTCAAAAATTATTATTTTTTAGATAAAATGGGGAATGATTGAGACCTTGTCTTTTTTTTGCTCCCTGTGTCCGAACAGGGATAGTTCCCTTCACTTTCTTCCCAATAAAATTGACACTAGAAATCTCTCCAAGGAGTAGTAACATCCACTATTAGAAAGTTGCCACTTGAACCGGTGTCAATATAGGAAGATTTCCCCGTTGTTGTAACAACTTAGATTTTCCATCACTTTTTGTACTAGAAACACTGGTCAGTAGGACAATTCTAGAGGCTGAATTTCCCTAGCAACAATAGGCACCTTACCATTTTTTAAACCCTTTCACAGCCTCCTGTCAGCCTCCTGTCACAGTCCGGCAGAGTGGTGTGTCGGCGGAGACAGCCCACGTTGTCACAGGAGGCTGAGCTCTGATCCCCGCAATGCTCACTCAGCCTCCCTTGACAGCTGTCAGGAAGGAGAGTGATCGCTGAGTGTTTGTAGATAATTGAGGACATAGTATGGTTACTGTATCCAATACATGTTACTTATCCATTGAGCTTTATTCTTAGGTTTGTTGAGCATTCATTTCTTTTATCATGTGCGCATTGGTGTATAAACCTGTAATAACAATATTATAACAATAACTTGTGTATGTCTGATAGATAATAACATGACCCATTTTTCAATTTTTTTCCAATTTTAACCAAAAATATGTACATTTTAGTGAAGCTTAGGTGAAAAAATGTCAACATGATCTGTTAATAACATTGTATACTATGGGGAAGTTAACAAGGTTTCATGCACTATTATAACAGTAGAAAAGTGTTTGCGGTGTGGCAGTGGGACTTGTATGTCATTTGATATTAAACTGTCAATTGTACATACTTGTGGCTCTCAGCTGCTAAGTGCCTGAAGCCATAAGTGCTGCTATGACTCCACAAGCCATGAAGTAATATTAGTGATGGAGCAGACACGCTATATGTCTACATTTAGTAGTCAGAAATGTTGCATTATGTATGCTGTGCTGTATAATACATAATCTAGACCAGAGGCAGGCAATTCTGGAGCTGTGGGGATCTTCCTAAACAACATGGAAGAAATCAAAGATGACCAGCATACAACACCCTTTTTTTCTTTAAGATAACCTAGCAAAGCCCCATTAAAAAGTAAGGAAGGTTCTGAAGAGTTCTGGGGTCCGTAGTAAGTAACCCAGAGTTCAGAGTATGTAACATAGAGTGCAGGGGTCAGGAGTAAGTAAAGCAGAGTGCAAAGGTGAAGAGTAAATAATAGAGTGCAGGGATCAGTAGTATGTAACTTAGAGTGCAGAGGTCAGAAGTGCACACACACCTGCATTGTAGGCAGCAGAAAACTACCGATCCCTCTAGTAACATTGTCAGCTTGGTACTTAGGACCTGCCATAACAGCCAGCACCCAGCCTGAACCCTCCCTGATGCCTTTTAATCCACTTTATTTGTGTATGGTTCGTTGCAGTAAAGTTAATGTTTTCACAGGGCACCTTAACTGGGAAATGTGAATGGGCCCTCAGGATTTGCATCTACTTTATTTATAAAAACACTTTTTGTTTATTTCAGAGACTGTTTTAAAACCTTACCAGACTATTTTACATGCAAATTGCTATTCATATAGCTTACAGTATGCAGTGTTCGATAATACAATGACCCATAAACACTTCTTAAATATATTTAAATCTAAAACCCTTATACGATGGTAGTTGGTCACTAGAAGGCTCTTTAAGTTTATTCTGCAAGCTTCTCCACTATGCTTACTGGGTTGTTGCCAATTGGGGTCTTTGTATCGAATATGGTGGCAATGCTCCAAGGTCCATAAATTCTGGATCAGAATTTACAATATCATCTTCTTAATGAACTAGGCCATAATACCCAAGTCTATGGAGAGTACTCTATTTCTCAAACTTGATCTTGACCTGCCCAATTTATCAAATGAGCTCAAATATTTTAGCTGCTTTTTAGCTGTCAAACACAAACTAAACTGGGTGATGGTTAACGATAAACTTACATGTTACATCACAACACCCAAGAGAATTTTGAAAAGACCTGGGTTCTGTTATTCTTTGCTGGACCACCAAAGCTTGGGAGGAATGACTGCTTCTATTTTCCTTTTCCCTCTTTCTTTTGTCATTCTTTTCCCCTGACCCTCTCAGGTTAGACCACTGCCTTAGTAGTGTTGGTCTTGGTTCATTGTTATATTTTTCCACTTCATATAGATTGGTATGGCTTACTGACCATTATACCTGAAGCCATTTTATAATTACTTTAACATTACTCGTCTGCACAATTAAACAGGCCTGGAAATGTAATAAAAAAGATGCAGAAATCAGATGTGCAGATGGTCATTAGAAAATATATCTTTAGTGCTGATTTTTTTAAATTATATTATTAAACCTTGTATGCAATGGATAGCAGGCCATGGTCTGTAACATTGTCACATGCCAAACATTTACAGGGTTATTCACAAAAGGATGAAGAGTTTGAAGAAGGAAGGAGAAGTGAACAATCTAGGCCAAAATAGCTGATTTTGAAAAATTCTCCAATTCGGCTCACTTTCCAGTTTAGCTATGTTGTCCTAGATTGTTCACTTCTCCTGCCTTCTCCAAACTCTTCACGTTTTTGTGAATAACCCTATTAGTAAATAGGATGAAATATAAATAACACAATGACTACAAGTTTATAGTAAATCCATAAGGTACTGTGTTGTATCAAAGCACCTTTAGAAATTCAT